GCATTGCCCTGGGCCAGCTCCGGCCAGCAGGGCCAGCTCAGCAGGGGCCTCCTCCCCAGACCACCTCCACCCAGCCGGGCTCTCTTCCCCTTCCTGTCACATTATGCATCACGGTCTGTCATTCTCTGGACTTTAACTGCTTGATCGTTTGCCTCCCTTACTAGACTGTAAGCTCCAGAAAAGGAGAGGCCAGCCTCGCTCTGTTCCAGGTTGTCTTGCTAGAACTCTGGGCACTTGAAAAATTTTCAGTAAACATCGAAGCATCCCCGGGCAACTCTCTTAACTTTAAAGCCAGGAATATAATTGCCCTGCATCCCCCCCACCTCTCCCCCCTCCCCCAACCCCAGGATTCTTTAGCAGAACTAATGAGCTATAAAGCATCTTTAAGCCCTTTAAAAAGTATAAAGCACGGTGAGGATGCAAAACACTGTGAACTCCTCCAGGAAAGAGGAAAGAAGCGTGTCTTATCTCCTGGCCTTTATTAAAGGCCCAGTGTGGGGATGACTGTTCCTATTAAATGAATCAGGCGTTTGTCCATACCAGTGGGAGACTCAGAGTGCACTTAGGGTAGTGCTCCTGATTAGATGTGCACCTGAGAGGTGGCACCTGGCTACTCAAGTCCTGCACATTGTAGTTGCCATGGGAATTAAGGGCCCACTGTTGCCATATTGTCCATTATTTTCTCTTTGTTAAAAAATATATCTTGTTGTTGTTTTAAATATATTTTTATTGATTTCAGAGAGGAAGAGAGAGGGAGAGAGAGAGATAGAAGCATCAATGATGAGAGAGAATCATTGATTGGCTGCCTCCTGCATGCTCCCTGTTGGGGATTGAGCCTGCAACCCAGACAGGTGCCCTAACCAGAATCGAACCCGGGACCCTTCAGTCTGCAGGCCGATGCTCTATCCACTGAGCCAAACCAGCTAGGGCTAAAAATATTTTTATTGATTTTCAGAAAGGAAGGGGGAGGGAGAGAGTAAGAGAAGCATCGTTGTGAGAGTGGAACATAGACCTAGCATGCCCCCTATCAGGGATAGAGCACAACCCAGTCAGGTGCCCTGCCTGGAGTCAGATAGAATTGGGTTCAGGACTCAGTTCTTGCACCTGTGTAATGTGGCCATTTAATGGAAAGAGGTAAACACAGAAGAGTGTCTTAGTGTTGCTGCCTTCTATTAAGGAGAAATGATGATAAGTAGAGGTTTCTATGGTTCTTTTACTTGACAGTGTAATAATAGAAAGTATAATAACATAACAGAAGTGGAAATTTATAAAATTATAGTTGCAAGTACCCTACTCAACCTTTTCTTGATATTTTTACATTTACCACATATACTCATAAGGACTCTTGAGTGCCAAAACAGCAATATCAGTTCAAACTAGCTTAAACAATAAAGGGAATGGCTCGTCCCTCAAAACTGAAAAATGCAGATGTAAGGCATGTTTCAAACTCCATTGCTCTGGATTCGCTGCTTCTTCCCCATATTGCCCTGGTACTGGCTCATGACAATATGGCTGCAGCAGTTCCAGACCTCTCATCCATATAGCTCATGGACACCCCCAGCTGTTGAACCAGAGACCTGAACTACACTCTGATTAGGCCAATCTCAGATCTTACACCCGTCCCTGACCCAGTCACAGTGGTGAGGGAAATGGGAGTCAATCCCAATTTCACCAAATGCAGGCAAGTTGGATGCTGGGGGAAACCCAACATTGTCCACTATAAAGTCGTTTATAAGATATTATGTATAATGTGTTTGTAAGAAAACAAGCAGGAAATGTGCTAGTTATTGTTCTATTCTTAACCTCTCTTTGAAACTAATGCCATCTGTGTTTTTATTAAAATAGCCCTATTTCAAAATATTTGACAAGGATGGTTTGGTTCCTCCCTTAAAGATGTGAAATCCACCCAGCTGGTGTGGCTCAGTGATTGAGTATTGACCTATGAACCAGGTCACCTATTGCGATTATAGTTCAATTCCCGGTCAGGGCACATGCCTGGGTTTTGGGCTCGATCCCAGTTGGGGCGGGGGCAGGGGGAGAGTGTGCAGGAGACAGCCAATCAATGATTCTCTCTCATCATTGATGTTTCTATCTCTCTATCCCTCTCCCTTCCTCCCTCTGAAGTCAATAAAAACATTTTTTTAAAAAAGATATGAAATCCTAGGGGTTTAGTCATATCATTTGGGTCCCCAGCAACTCGCTTCTGTCCTAGCGACATCAAGATCAACGTTTTAGGAACTATGAGTCTGAATTGCCTGCAGCATATTAGATCTAGTGATCGTATCTGGAAGCTGCACTTGCCCTTCCAGCATTTTTAATGTCGATATCCTCTGAGAGAGTCTTGTACATCAACGTCATACTAAAAATGCTTAAATATGTATTTTCTTATAAGAAAGCTTTTATGCTTTTCAACTTAAAGTAACAACTGTTATCGGTAAAGTTGATTGATGCTCTTATGTATAATGTAGCCTACATAATATGATTGAGGCTAGTCATAAGGTGTTATAGAAGAGTTCAGAAATATAATGACTCTTTTAACCTGCAAATCCTTGCAAATAAAGTCTTAAGCTCCTAATGAAATAAAACTGAGCTATTAATGCCAGAAAATCTGGCAAGAAGGGTTTTATTCCTATTTCAAGTATACAGATTCTGGCTAGTTGTTATAATTCCTTTTTATAGATCTTATAGTTGCCATTATATAATTAAACATTCCTATCATGCTTAACACTTGTTTCCTGAAAAGAACTTTAATTTCGCACTGAAAATAATGCCATGCCTTATTGAGACACATGAGATTTCTAACTCTTTCCAGGATCACAGAGATTTAGAAAATGTATAAAATTCACAGCTGCAAATGTTGTGTTCCCGTTGTTGAAATTATCACCTCCCCTTCTTAACCTCTTAGTACTGACTTTTCTGCCACTAATGTTTATTCTTATGGCATGTAACTTATAGCTAAGTACGAACTAGAAAGGACGACAGATATTTAAGATCCTCTCCTCAGGTTAAGGTGACTGACTCAAGGAATCTCCTTCATAAATCAAATCTGCACAGTCACTTCCTTGAAACAGCTGTTTCCATTTCCCTGGGGAAGATGAAGATGAGACATCTAGCTTCGCCAGACTTTTCATTAGACGAGCGCCCTTTAAGTTGAGAAGTGATGCCGTCTCTGCTACTATGAAATAGGGAACAAAGAAACGCTGAGTAAGGAGGGAGGAGAGAGAAACCTCATGACTTTTTGCCTTTTCTAAGCTTAGGGTGATTGAGATGTAAGTTTCGAGTGTTGTGAAGTCTCAAATCAGCAGATATTGGGTTGTGCTTTCCAAGGCATCTGTATTGAATGGTTTGCCCCACAGCAACGTTTTGAGCAGAACTTTAGGGGACCTTTTTTTTTCCTTTCAGCCGTACTCCATGGCCCCTGCTGTGACTTTGTGAAGTGGCCATGTTAACATTTGGGTGCATTTTGGGGAGATGCACATAGCATTTTAGGTGATGTTGCATCTCGTCAGAGAGAATGTGACCTCCTGCCTCTGTACCAGCAGTTCTCAACCTGTGGGTCGCCTAAGACCATCCTGCATATCAGATATTTACATTACAATTCATAACAGTAGCAACATTACAGTTATGAAGTAGCAACGAAAGTAATTTTATGGTTGGGTCACAACATGAGGAACTGTATTTAAAGGGCCAGAAGGTTGAGAACCACTGCTCTGTACCCCCTGCCTGCAGGGAGGGCAGCTGTATTTGGTAACTGGAAATGGAACTGCAAAATGTGCCCATCTTATCGCTTCTGTCTTCATTCACCGTGGGAGGGAGGACTTGCCAGCCCCCCTTGAAAAGTCTCTGCTGCTGGTTAGGAAAATACAAATTTACTGTTTATACAATTGACATTATTTTTAGGTATGAAAAAGTAGATATCTTAAATTTAAACTATTCTGTTTGGAATGAATACTATTTATTTATAAATGCTTCTTCAAACTAATGCTGCATTTTTAATATTATAGAGACTTTTTTCTTAGAGGAAAACTGCTTTTTTTTTTCTTTCCCTCAGGAATGTTATAAGACATGTCTGTTGCTTTGTGAGTAATCAGACATGCAAATAGCCCCTCAAGAATCAAGCTAAATTTAAAGACGACTTACTTAGAAACGCGGGAGAGTGTATCATGGAGTTCAGACTTGAGGGGAAAGAAAAATGCCAACATAGCTTGAATTTACTGAACAAAATTAAGCACATGAAAGAATTAGCAGAAATGGTCGATGTAGTACTCATAGCAGAAGGAGAGAGATTTCCTTGCCACAGATTGGTCCTGGCTGCCTTTAGTCCTTATTTCAAAGCCATGTTCACCTGTGGACTAGTTGAATGTACTCAGAGAGAAGTGGTACTCCATGACATCACAGCAGAAAGCGTGTCAGTTATATTAAATTATATGTACAGTGCAGCATTGGAGATCAATAATTCCAATGTACAAACTGTAGCTATGGCTGCCTACTTTATGCAGATGGAAGAAGTCTTTAGTGTGTGTCAAAAATATATGATGGACCACATGGATGCCTTCAACTGTGTAGGTATCTATTACTTTGCAAAGCAGATTGGAGCTGAAGATTTATCTGATCAATCGAAGAAATATTTATATCAGCACTTTGCGGAGGTGAGCTTACATGAAGAGATACTCGAACTTGAAGTGCACCAGTTTCTGACGCTTATTAAATCAGATGACCTTAACATTTCCAGAGAGGAGAGCATTCTGGACTTAGTTCTGAGGTGGGTAAATCATAACCAAGAATTGCGCAAAGAGCATCTTGTTGAGCTTTTGCAGCAAGTCAGATTGGAGCTTATAAATCCTTCTTTCTTAAGACAAGCCCTAAAGAGGAACACAATGCTTCTATGTGATGCCAATTGCATTGACATCATTCAAAACACATTCAAAGCCTTCAAGACACCCCAACAACACCCTCTAAACCTTCGCTACGGCATGGAGACGACTAGTCTTTTGCTTTGCATTGGCAATAATTCTTCAGGAATCAAGTCAAGACGTAGGAACTATGGGGATGCCAGTTTTTGTTATGACCCTGCATCACGGAAGACCTACTTTATCTCCTCTCCCAAGTATGGGGAGGGTTTAGGAACTGTGTGCACTGGTGTTGTCATGGAAAACAATGCTGTAATTGTGGCTGGAGAAGCAAGTGCCTCTAAACTCTCTAGACAAAAGAACAAGAATGTTGAAATCTATAGGTTTGTATCTAGCACTGTATTTATTTTGTTTTCATTATCTTGCTTTGACATTAGCAACAGTGGTAGAAAATACTACTGAATGAATGATCACATCTTAAATTACAGGTAGTCAAAATTATCCTGTAATTATACATTTTACATATATGTAAAACTCATCATTAAATCACCCATACTTAAAACTTTTTCTCTCCATTTGTTAAAAACGTATAGTTGAATTTGCATAAGTTAAATGTATGTTGTGATTCCATTGTATATTTTCATTCTTTCCTTATTTATCAATATACTTTGTTTTTGAAGAGCTTGATATAACTTTTAACCAGAAGAAGAATTAGTTTCTACTGACCCCTTTGAACTGATTTATTTTAGTTCCTGCTTCAGAGTACTAATTTTTTCCTCAAACAAAAATTACTAGTTATATGTCACTTTCCATTCTGTAGCCTTAATTTGTGGATCTTCCCTAAACCTCCGATAGTATAAAATGTTTGTAGCCTAAGTAAGAGTGCTTCCACCCTGGAACTGTACGAGGAACAAGAGTGTCTGCTAAGAAGTAGCATATCCCCTAGGTCTTGTATGTGAGGACACGTACATTTGTTTACTATTCATTTGGCAAGTATTCAGTTCTTACATCTAACTGGGTAAGTAATAAATATGCACATAGAATACATACTAGACAGTAAAGCTCTCCTTCAATATCTTTCTCCTCTCAGTACTCTCTTACCAGGGTTTGTTAAGACTTTTCCATCAGAAAGTAATGCTTCTGGACAGTGAGGTTTCGACAAAGAAAGAATTAAGAGGTCTGCTATCTTTCTGTCGCCTCTTAGCACTCAGTGTTTCCAGCTATAGACCTGTCCCTTTTTCACATTCATCCTTTGGAGATGGGTTTCATTCCTCCCTAGTAGAGAGAGGGGAGGGAATGCAGAGCCCTGGATAAATGACCTGGACCTATGCCCCTTGTGGCAGAGCATGGCACGGAGCAGAAGGGGCAGCCTTCTTCAGAATTACCAGGTAACCCCTAAAGAGCCCGGATATCAATCACTACAGGAAGAGGACGCTCTGGCTTCCCCAGCATGAGTCTCATAGATCCAGGCCACTTGTATTATTTGGTCTTGGTAAGATGCACTTCTTTCCACTTGAGAGCCTCTTGCTAAAAGTGCTTCAGGTCCTTTAAATGGCTCCTTTTCTTCCTGATCAAGATAGTCCACAAAACCGCCCTGGGAATTTTTTTAAATGTATTGTTGACAGTATTACAGATGCCCCCTTTGCCCAGCCCCAGCTCCACCCAGGCCTTCCCCACACTATTATCTGTGTCCATGGGTTATACATATATACATATGTTCTTTTAATAAATGTCCAAGCCTATCAAAATGTGTTTCTATTTTGATCCTCAAACATCTTACCTCTTAACCTTTTTGAAAGCCTGCTTCCTTTCTTACAGCATATGTCTATCTTATCTATCTGTCTTGAACTCAACCAGGTTCCCATCACCAACCAGTTCCTCCACATTGGTCAGAATTGGGGGGAAAATATCCGTTGCCCTCTTCATTTCCTTCAATAATGAAATTGTCAAAAGCACTGCTTGGGGCTTAAATGATCCTTTCAGCAGTTGTCTGGATAGTTAAAATCTCACAGCACTACCGAAGGTCACTTTAGTGCCGATTTTGTGAAATGTATGAGAAATCAATTGTGGGATATTCGTGCTATATTATCCCTGTTTCTCATCCCTTTTATTTTTGTCCAGATGCACTTCAATTTGTTTGTACTGCATAGTTCATAGATTTTCATGCAGATATATTTCTTTTTGACTAAAAAAGGAAGCAGATTCATACTCTAGTCAGTCATTTCTTTTTAAAAACATATACCTTTCCATCTCCTTTACTTATTTCCCATACTTCGATATACAGCTGAGGTTGTGTATTGTTTTTAGAGTGTCAACCTCTGAGAACATTGAATGTTTTGTCACTATTATTTTCTTTATGTCTTATCCATTTTTCTTAATAAATTTTAGGGTTTTTTTAATTTTTATGATTTTATTTGAGCCCAAACTGATAATTGCTGGGAAGCAAGATCTCAATGCTCCCAAATTTTACAGTTTTATCTGGGTATTTTCTCTCTCCATTTTCAGTTCAAAATGTTAAAAATCAGATTAACAAGTTGCCCAGCAAACATGTACATCCCAACCTTCACGGGATGTATTTCATTCGTGCCCTGTTTTCTTGAATCATGTCTCAGTAAACCAAAATGCATTTTTTTAGTTCTTTGTGTATATTCATTCACTGGCTTTACTTCAGTAGCCCTCCTTTTTCTTATAAAATCCAGTACAATTTAAAATAGTCGGGGGGAGGGGGTGTAAGGGAAGGGGAGAAGGAGATATCTGTAATACTATCAACAATAAAAAGTATATTAAAAATAATAAAATAAAATAGTGATTCACCTGTGATGCTAGGGGCTCTGGTTTCCTACCTAGAATTTCGTATAAGACAGCTATTGTGAGGTTTGATAAATGTCTGTGCTCAGTTTGGACAAGCCAGCCGTACCCTCTAAGAAAGGAGCATAAGCTTGCAAACTTACCTGTCAGGCTTACAGGGAAAAGTCATCTCTGGGGAAGAATGAAAGAGTTGACCTAAAACAATTGAGAAAAACTCCTATAAATATGATCAAATGTCAATATTTGACGCAAAATCAGTAGTCTATACGTTAAAATTGTACTCCATATAGAACACACACATATAACTTTTTCTTTGTTTCCAAACAGAATAACTTTTTTGCCTATTTTCTATATTTTACTTTTTTCGTTGTTTTGTTTTGTTTTAGCTTTGAATACATTCTTGATTTTCTAGGACAGATCTAATATCACATATGTTATCCCACTGTCCCCATAAGTACTTTTGTCCTTCTTAGACTGTCCCAAATCAAGATGGACTTACCACTATCAAGAGGCATGATAAAATGCTACACACGTACACACACACACACACACACACACACACACACACATAATCAGTTAACGTGTTGGACTTCTGGAGGTATTGAGAGATCATATATCCTAATGTCCCTACCTCCCAAGATCTTTCTCAGGCTGACTTAATTATTCGTGGAAGAAATTACTGAAATTATCATATCCAGGGGATTAAAATAGATGTTAAATGCCCAACAGACGCCTGCAGGCGGATTTCCATACACCCACAGGAGCTCTTGATGCTGTTCTAAGCCAGTTAGAACCGCGAGAACAATCTTTAAAGTTTACACATCCTACATCATCTCATTAGAAGTCATTGAATGGAGATATTTTCAGATTTTCTGCTCGAAAACTTATTTTTTTAATGTAGGATTAAACTGAAACTTCTATTTCACAGAAGAGACTTTTTTGTGTTTATTTTTACTTCTTATTCTCTTATGGCAAAGTTACAAATGATTTGCTGAAAGACTTTCCTATTGCATGTGTGCTAATCCTCACCAGGAGATGTTTTTCCATTGATTTTTAGAGAGAGTGGAAGGGAGGGGAGAGACAGAGAAAGAGAAACATCAATGTGAGAGAGACACACATCGACTGGTTGCCTCTCGCACGCTCCCCCACTAGGGCTGGGTGTTGAGCCTACAACCGAGGTAGGTGCCCTTGACCAGAATAGGACCTGTGATCCTTCCGTCTGCAGGCCTACGCTCTATCAACTGAGCCAAACTGGCTAGGCCTCCTATTGTTGATTTTCTTCCCCAGACTTAGGAAATGAACGCTAGTCCTGGGTAATCTGTACTTTTTCAATATATTACTTTTCCTAAAATTCTGCAGGTTGGTTGGTTGTTTCTATGCACATTATATTTTGTTCATCAGTCCTTGAAAAAAAAAAACCACCAAAAAACCTGTATCACTATCTTATATTGATTCTTTTTCCCTTTCCAATTCGAAGAAGTAAATCATATTATTTTAGTTGGAAAAGAAACTTAAGTGTGTTTCTTGGGTAAGTTGTTTTCATGTTGACTCTAATCCTGACTCCTCTCTCTGTTAATTTGCAGGTATCATGATCGAGGAAACCGGTTTTGGGAAAAGTTATGCACAGCTGAATTTCGAGAGCTCTATGCTCTGGGCAGTGTCCGTAATGACCTCTATGTTATAGGAGGACAGATGAAAATTAAAAACCAGTATCTTATCACAAACTGTGTCGATAAGTACTCTGTAGAACTGGACAGTTGGAAAAGGGTGTCCCCCCTTCCACTGCCATTGGCCTGTCATGCTGTAGTGACAGTGAATAACAGACTTTATGTGATTGGAGGCTGGACCCCTCAGGTTACGACATTTCCTATGTGCCTAAGTGGCATGGCTATGCTGAGTCTGGCTGCTGTGTTGGAAAATGTTGTGGTTGTTGAACACTAAAGGAGTATGACTTACATTTTTTATGAAATATTTTTTATTTTCTAGAATACTAAACTTAAGATTTTAAGCGTTAAAGCAGTTTAGGAGAGTGAATTTTTAAAGTGTGTTATTATTCATAGACATGACTTCATTCAGTATTCATGCTGTATTCTTTTTAAAAAATATATTTGTATTGATTTCAGAGAGGAAAGGAGAGGGAGAGATAGAAACATCAATGATGAGAAAGAATCATTGATTGACTGCCTTCTGCACATCCCACACTGGGGATTGAGCCCGCAAACCAGACATGTGCCCTAACTGGGAATCAAACCGTGACCTCCTGGTTAATAGATCAATGCTCAACCCCTGAGCCATGCTGGCTGGGCTCATGCTGTATTCCTCATGATGCTTCCCATCTTGCTAATAATGAAAGATGCTTATGTTGAGGGATTATCTGTAGGGAGCATCTAAGGAGGAGGCAGAGAAGCTGAGTCCTCATTCCAGGACTATCTGCGTAACTGCTGTGTGACATGAGGCAAGAACTTTTTTAAGGCCTTTTCCACCTTTACAATTCTTACTCTAAGAGGGAAACCAGAATGCTCGCTTCCACAAAGTATATTGTGATTTTAAACACTGTATGCCTTTGCTGGGCATCAGCAGATAGAGGAATCAGAATACTGTTTGTACTGAAGGCCCATGGAATGTTGGCAAGCCAAAATTGAAAAGTCAATCGAGTATGACCGCAGTGGTTGGTCCTTTATCTTCTCTTGGGTGTTCCTCGGGGTGCCTTGGAGCTCTCACAGTCGTATCATGTCCCTCCAGCTGCCTTTTACCCTGGCCGTCTAGTCTTTCTAATAGAAATTAATCTTACTAACTCCTCGTCCACCCACATAACATAATTGAATTTATTTTTGCCTATATAATTTCTTATTTCTCCATATTTGCTTCATGATGAAACTGATGATTTGCATTTATTTCGTAAGCTTGGCCTTTGCCACGTATATAGAATATCAGGCTCATTTTAAAAACTTAAACTTTACATTTTAAATTTCATGCTCTGTATTAAAAAGACGTACAGGTTTAGTCACAGCTGATACTTGACAAGTTATCTGTAATTAAGTTTTTCCATAACTATTCGTTACATTGTTAATTTTCCATGAATAAGCTCAAAAGACAACTTAGAAGCTTTTCTTTACTTTTTCTTTCACTATATTGGAGATTAAATACATTAAAGGAAATACTTATTTAGAAAGAAAACTTAATAAAGTTAATATTTAATCATTTATATTATCTTTGAACAGATGGCTTTGAATATTTGTTGCATAACAGAAGCTTTTGCTAGTCTGTACCTAATACTATACATTAATTTGCAAGGTAACAGGGGTTTGTGATTGCAGCCATAGTGATCATAACTCTTGATGCATTCAAAGTAATTGAAATTAATTGCACACAACTTTCACAAATATGGCAATTAATTCTATGTTGAACACCTGCATCCAAAACAAAAAACAGCAGACACTTAAGCAACCTTAGCCTGAAGTCATAAAAGTTCCTGACACATTGTAAAAAAAAATTACTTCACCTGAAGCTTATGAGAAGACACATACATCTGTGTAAGAATAGTCATTCAATTTGTACTATCTCTAGTCATCAAAAAAAAGATGGAAACAAAATAAACTGCAAATAATTTATATTAATCCATATATTTTGAAAACTGAATTCAGACCATTCCTACATAGGTCATAATTATGGGGTTAAAACTATAATGTTCACTGAGACCGGTTTGGCTCAATGGATAGAGCGTCGGACTGCGGACTGAGGGGTCCCAGGTTCGATTCCGGTCAAGGGCATGTACCTGGGTTGCAGGCACATCCCCAGTGGGAGATGTGCAGGAGGCAGCTGGTCGATGTTTCTCTCTCATCGATGTTTCTAACTCTCTGTCTCTCTCCCTTCCTCTCTGTGAAAAATCAATAAAATATATATTTAAAAAAATAAAAATAAAAAACTATAATGTTCTACTTGGATTAGAAATTTATTATAAATAAAAATATCTTATAATATATATTTATCAGTATCTCACAAATACTAAAATCAGTATCTCACAAATACCACTATAAAGTTTGGCAAAATAAAATTATACTTTAAATACTGCTTTAGAAAGCTTGATTTTATTTTTAAGGTGTTGCATTTTTTAAAGTGCTGTATTTTATTGTCTTATCTTTTTTTAAATATATTTTTATTGATTTCAGAGAGGAAGGGAAAGGGAGAGAGAATCCTTGACTGGCTGCCTCCTGCACTCCCCTATATTGGGGATCGAGTCCCCAACGTGGGCATGTGCCCTTGACCAGAATTGAACCTGGGACCGTTCAGTCCACAGGTCGACGCTCTATCCATTGAGCCAAACTGGCTAGGGTTGTCTTATCTTTTTTAATGCTGTATTTTATTGTCCTACTGCTAGATCACAGATTATTTGCTGTAACCCAACACCTTAGCCCCATTGTTACAGAATAGAAATTCCTCTGCTATTGACAGTGTACTCATAACCCCAAGTCATGAGATGTATGTGTTGCAGAGTTTCAGTCACTACACTTAACCTCTGTCTCTTTGGCTATTTGATTAGATTAATTGCATTTATGTACTCACAGAGATCTTTAAATGGTGTATTATTATATTGGTTGTCATATCTTATGCAGATGGATCTTCCTGATGAAGAACCTGATCGATTAAGCAACAAACTGTTTCAGTATGACCCCAGCCAAGATCAATGGACAGAGCGGGCACCCATGAAGTACTCTAAGTACCGATTCAGTACAGCTGTAGTCAACAGTGAGATTTATGTCTTAGGTAAGAAGAAGCAGATTACTAAAAGAGTATAATTGCTTTTTTTTTTATCCCCTCAGCAGTTTGCCTCAGTTAAAACAAAATATTCTCCCTTCCTCTTGCATTCCAATTCAAATGTGTACCTATCTAGCCAACATTTTTCTTTTATTTCTTGTTTTCTAGAGCACGGTCAGATAATATTAAATGAAAATCCACTGACTTATTGAATGCAAAATTATTTTTATGGAATTTTTAAGTCCTTTGGAATGTAAGACTAGTAGTGATACATCCTTATATATACTACCAGGAAAAATATTTTGAGATGGGAATGACTTTGGCTACCTTTAATTGATGAAATGTAAGTTTTTGCAACCAAATGTGATTATCTGTGCTGATAGAAGAGAAAGCCACCATAAGTAAGACAATGCCACAGATCAGGCCAATCTTCTTCATTTGCCTCACCTACCTAATTTCTATAGAGATGTTATAAAATAATTTTTATCTGAATGCATTTTTTCTTATTACTTGAATATGTGTGGTCTTATACTAGCCAGAAGGGGTTGGTGAAAGACTGGTCCATTCCCACAAACAATCCTAGAACATCAATATATTTCCCCTATTCTTCCTCCTTGTTTTTTGTTGTTTTTTTCCTTCTTTATTATTAAGCCCTTTGCTCTTCTAAGCACATTCCATTTTCCTAACATCATCCTCTTTTACCTTCTCTCCCTTCCCCCATAAGTATGGGAAAGAATTAAACTGAAGTAAGGAGGCTGACTGGACTGGGGTAAAACTATGCCAGTTATTTTGTTCTATCTGCACTGATGGCTAAGTGAAAAAAACTTAGGGAAGAGAAGGATAGCAAGAAGATGACAAAGAAAAAACCAAGCATTTGAATAGTTTTGGGGGTTTTTGTTTGTTTTCCTTAAGAGAAGCCATTATTTCTTGGATGTCTGCACAGCAAGAGGCAAAATAATTAATGTGCTCAAATATTAATAGTTTTATAATTTTAAGAATGAAAACAGTATGTAACATAATTTATAACTCTCTCAGTTATGAGACTCATTTGTAATTATAATCTTTTCTTCTGGATATATATTTGTTACTTTGTTACAACCATATGCTGTGTCATAGGCCCAGAGAAACAATATTTAAACTAGGATAAATTGCCTAGGATGTATATATAACTCAAGGGAGTGAAGGGCTCATCTACTAATTATGTTAAATTTAGAGGTAGTCAAAAATGGGGTAAAAGTAATATATCAATTGAACCAAAGTGAGATTTCCCCCTGATGTAGAGTCACAACTAAGCTAGATGTGGAATAAAAATGATATTGTGTCTTTTGGTAAATGATCTGAGGAAAGACATCTTTTTGGAGGTTATACTTTATGGCATGAACAAATGTCCACCGAATGAATGAAAGGAAGTAGATTTTAAAGGGCCTGTAAGTTCTGGGTAGGTGAAATGGAGAAAAGAGTGTGCACTAGGAAAGGAGGTAATGAGGAAGGGCAGGAAAGAATAAGTAGGGAGAATGGCAAAAGCAGAAGTTTGGAGGTAAGAATGAAGGTGGTAAGAGTAGAGGATGAAAGGAGAGTGAGAAAACGAGCCCACGGGGGCAGGTAGCTGTGAGAGACAGAGAGCTGTGTAGGTGAACTGAGAACCAGGTTTTCAAGGCTTATGGATAAAGAATTAAGAGAATATTAGAAATCAATGAGAAACTACAGAAGCAAGATGATTAAAGAATGTCTTGGGAAGATTGGTGAGGTGAGGATATAAAGATCAAATCAAAGGTGAAAAGAATTCTAATGACTCTAATTCTAGTGATTGATCAAGAAGATCTTATTTGCTAGTGTGAAAGTTGGCACTTTAATTAAAGGCAGTGTTTCTTTCCTAAAAATGTATGGCTTTTTAAAAGTTGTTTTTTTTTTAATTGATTTCAGAAAGGATATGGGCTCAATCCCCAGTAGGGGGCATGTAGGAGGCAGCCTATTGATGTCTCCCTCTCTCATTGATGTTTCTCTCTCTCCCTTTCCCTTCTTCTCTCTCTAAAAATCAATAAAAACATATTGAAAAGAAAAGGGTTTGGAAGAACTGACAGAGTAAGGCCCAGACTTGACTTGCACATTGAAACTCACTGAGGCCCAATACTGGGTCAACACAAAAAGCCCGAGAGTTATTCAGAACCAGTTGGGACGCAATTTTGTAATTGCAGCTTATCTGGTACCCAGGCCTCAGTGCTGGGTGCCATATTTTCATTTGAAATGTATTTTCAATTCCAGTGGAAATGTAGACGCTTCAAACATTTGATTTTCCTTCTAAAACCAAGCATAGTCCAGCTTTAACAAATGAAACTTGGACTTCCCTGTTAGTTCTTTTATTTGATTTTCATGATAATCTCCTTTGAGGAGCAAACAAAATGCAGAGAGACGGTCGTGTTTTTTCCTTAGCCCGGAGAGAAAAAAACTGGCAGAAGACAGTAAAGGGTGAGGTGAAGAGAATGGCCTTAATGCCAGTGAGGACCATCAGCCCAGGCTCTGTGAGCCCAAGACCCCTGTGCACAGATTAGCATTGCCTGGCATACCCAGAATTTGTAAAAAGCAAGCAATGAGCCTGCTTTCAATGCTGTCCTGAAAATACCCAAGAACCCTGTGTTAGACTAAGAAAGGGACAAGAAGCGAGGTTCATGTCTTTTAGGGGCGTAGGCTCCAAGATGCGAGTAGAAAAAAGTCAGAGAATAGAAAACTCAAGTGGAACGAAATGGTCACAAGCATTATATTAGCAGTGAATAGGCTGCATTTAACATCCGCGTCAAAAAGTGCCCAGCCCCTCAGAAGTGTGGGCCAGCTTCACTCCTGGAAGCTGAGAGAATGCTAAGTCCCTTTCTACCTTTATGGTGGCACCTGACAACTCCCTCACCTGTTTATAACTGAATGAGTTCCTCCGCATCACAGGCAGGGAGCTTTTCTCCCCACTTGAAGGCTGAAAGGAAGACTCAGCTTCTTTCTCAGCCCTTTGACCTTCTATCCAACCTTGAGAGAAAGTTGATCAGTAAGTCATCAATTATAGACACAGCAAATAATTAAACTGAGAGTCAGCAAAGGTAAGATTTCGGCAACATCAGTAAACACTTATTTACTTACACAACATGCTAGAATGTGAAGGAGAACGAATTAACATTATTGAGTAGCTCCTATATGCTAGCCATTTTGCTTATATGCAGTACATGAGAATAAATAAAATTCTTATAGTGATACTTGTGAATAGGTACCCAGCAATTGTAAGTTCTTCCTTACCCTTCTCCACCTTTACATAGTGTGAGAAATGGCTCACCTGTCCAAATTTCAAATGACGGACTGGGAAACAGAAACAGGGTGAAAATGAGACTCAATAACTTTCTTGAGAGCCGGCATCAGGGTAAGGCACACACGTGGGGCGGGGAACATAGCCTATTTATTTAGCCCCTCCTCCGGTTCCTCATTGGCTGCATCCTATGAGATCACCTGTTTCTTCACACTTCACCTAGGTCTTGCTATCTTCCATTGGGCCATTAAAACTTGGGGCTGAGACCTTTCTAGCTGAGACCTCCACCTCCCTTTGTTTAGGGCAGTGGTCAGCAAACTCATTAGTCAACAGAACCAAATATCAACAGTACAATGATTGAAATTTCTTTTGAGAGCCAAATTTTTTAAACTTAAACTATATAGGTAGGTACATTGTTATTAACTTAATTAGGGTACTCCTAAGGCTTAGGAAGAGCCACACTCAAGGGGCCAAAGAGCTGCATGTGGCTCGCGAGCCGCAGTTTGCCGACCACGGACTTTAGGGGAATCTTTCTGGAAAGTGTGCTATGGGCCACATGCACAGCTCTCATACCCTCTACCCACCCCCCACATCCTGTTTGCTCTGGGGAAATTCAGTAAGCACCTGAATTTTAGGTGCTAGCCCATGCTGTTTCTTTTCTTTTCTTTTCTTTCTTTTTGTTTTTTGTTTTTGTTTCTTTTCTATGAAGATGAATCAGAGGCATGTTTCTTACACACAGTTAACTAATAATTTAATCTTTGCAACAATTTATGAAATTGGTATTATTATTCCTAACTTACAGATGAGAGCATTGAGGCTTAGAGAAATTATATTGCCCAACATTGTCCAGTTAGCAAGTGGTGACACAGGCATATGAACCAGCATCTGTCTGTTTCCAAAAAACCTGCATGCTTTTTCCGTGACACATGGGAGCCTACAACAGTAAATATATTTTCTAAAGCTTGTTTCTAAAGCATATTTAGCAATGTAAGCCACTTTAGGAGCCTGTCAGAATGATTACAAAATCCCGCTCCTCTTTTGGATGCAGACCAGGGGAGAATAGGGTAGGCTGCCACCTAAAGCAACCCTCCAGTCAGAGGGCATCAAAGCAGCACCATCGTATTCAAGGCACAGTGGGTGGCAAGTCCTTGGAGATGGTCAGAAAAGCACAGTGCCTCCCCTGCCCTCAGCCAGCCCCTCTGCCAGGTTTTGCATGGGGAGAGATCTCCTCCCACACCCCACAGAAGGGGGAGACTCTAAAATAGCCAAACACAAGAAGAGCTGGTCTTTATCTCCGTAGAAATGATACGGAGGAGGCATATTCTCTTCTGTAACCCATCACAACACACCAGGAAAACACTAAGGTATACATTTTGCATTTGAAGTCCATTTGGGTATGACTTTAAAAGGTAATTTCTATTCATTTCTCTGTTCTGGAATAGTCAGGCTCAGGTTCTGATAGCAGATAAATTAAAGATATGGAGGTACCTCGTTAAAATTCTAAAGACGTGCTGATCCTACCCTAGGATTCTTCTCATCAAGAGAGTTCTCTTGTAGTGCTGGTGCTGACTTATTAATAGAGATCATGCTTTTATTTGATTGTTTATCTAATCAGGATTCACCTCCAGTTTAAGCTCATTAAGTCTGCTGTTAATCATCTTGCTGAAAGTGTACTTGACTGTGGAATTACATCCAAGTGCAAGGGAGAATGTGTTTGGGTATTAATGGTCAGAACAAGGACAGAACACTCTGTAAGCCCATGTTGCCCTCGAGTAGAGCATGAGAACCATCTACCAACCAAATAAAAAGGGCACATATTTAGCCCTGGCTGAGTGGCTCAGTTGATTGGAACATAGCTCCACACACCAAAAGGTTGCAGGTTCAATTCCCGGTCAGGGTACATACATAGGTTTGATCCCAGTCGAGGTGTATATGGGAGGCAACTGATTGGTGTCTCTCTCTCTCTCCCTTCCTCTCTCTAAAAATCAATAAAAACATATCCTCAGGTGAGTATTAAAAAAGAAGGCACATATTTAAAAGGTTGGTTTTGTAGAGTAAGGGCTGACATTATATTTAAATACACTCAGTAACAGAAAAATAAAGTGACAAGCATTCTAATTACCAAAAAACCAAGAGATGAATACCCATTCTTTGTATGCATCATGTTGGGGGAGCTTTTCTAATGGGCTTTTATGTGAAGCTTCTGAATTACATTCAGAACGTTGGTGCTCAATGTTTGCGGCCTAACTGCCAGTAACTTTGATTGCACCTGTTTACTTATACTTCTGCGGTGGCTATAATATGAACAGCAGAGCTCTGCAGTTCACTGAGGAAAGCACGTCCCTTCCTTGGAAACACTGCGGCTCAGACTTGGCACTGTAATGCGCTAAATTATTTATCCAGCAAGATAAGAGAGAGAAAGTAGCTAAAAGCTTCCTGAGTTGGTAGCCTCCGTCCCTAAAGTCATATTGATGGAGGAAACCGGCCACCCTCCATCAGCAAAGAGGAAAAAATGATTTCCTCCGAAGTCCTCTTCCATCCCCCCTGATGCCTGGCACACGTCCCAACCACGGCGGAAACAAGCTGTTCCCAGCAGCCTTGGGTTCATTGAGCACTGTGGCAGGCACTTTGAAATCCAAGATGCGTAAAAAGTGGCCTTTGACTTTAATGAGCTTACAAATACATCCACCTGAACAGACTGAGGAAGCATAGGAAAAGTTAAGTTTATCCTTCATTCGTTCCAGACACACGTGTCAGGCATGGTACTAGGTCCTGAGGATGCAGTACTGAAGAAAGATAAAAAACATAGATGATGATGCAAATAGCATCTGACTAGTCTAGTGCAATGATAGATAAAAGGTCTTAAGTAACAGTGTTCAGAAAGTGCCATGAGATCAGGGCAGTTCTTAGTTTTGGTTTTGATATTGCTATAAACAACACAGCCAAGCACCAAGGACTCTTCTAGGGCCCTCTCTATAGGAAAGAGCTAGTTTAACCTGAGGCCAGCACTTTAAAGCCATTTTGTGGTTGTTGTTAATCCTCACCTGAGGATATTTTTCTCCCATTGATTTTCTTAGAGAGAGTGGAAGGGAAGGAGGGAGGAGAAGGAGGAGGTGTGGAAAGGAGGAAGAGGAGGAGGAGAAGGAGAGAGAGAGAGAGAGAGAGAGAGAGAGAGACAGAGAGAGAGAGAGAGAAACATCACTGTGAGAGAGACACATCCATCGGTTGCCTCCTGCACACACTCCAACAAGGGTGGGGCTCCTGCAACCCAGATACATAACCTAGACTGAGAATTGAACCTGCAACCTCTTGCTCCATGGACTGATGCTCTAACCACTGAACAAAATGGCCAGACCCCTTTAAAGTCTTTTGAATTGATCATGCGGATCAGGGATATCAGGTAATTGGGTATGCATGGAATGAGGTCACTGATGAGAAGAGTGTCTGCAAGTACAGGAGTGTCTCTCCTTCCAAGGAATTTATTTGTCTCAGGAGCCATATTTCAGGTCAGGAAATATGGTCCTGACATTTAAGAACTTTCACTGTGGGACTTTGGAGGAGAGAACAAAAAAGATCGCCTACAAACTTGTATTATTATTACAGTCTATTGGAAATTCCTACGCAAGTACTTTTCTCATAGAGGATTGTACTTACAGTCATATTTATTCACATGCCATTTCTGTTACTTGTTATAACCTCTGGACTTCTGAGTCTAATTGTATCTCTTTTAAGGTTCTGCCATGGTAAATGTAGCAGGATACAAAATTAACCCCAAGAAATCTGAGGCATTTCTATACACCAATAGTGAACTTTCAGAAAGAGAGATTATAAAAACAATCCCGTTTACCATCGCACCAAAAAAATTAAGCTACCTAGGAATAAACTTAACTAAAGAGGTAAAAGACCTCTACACAGGAGTGTCTCTCCTTCCAAGGAATTTATTTGTCTCAGGAGCCATATTTCAGGTCAGGAAATATGGTCCTGACATTTAAGAACTTTCACTGTGGGACTTTGGAGGAGAGAACAAAAAAGATCGCCTACAAACTTGTATTATTATTACAGTCTATTGGAAATTCCTACGCAAGTACTTTTCTCATAGAGGATTGTACTTACAGTCATATTTATTCACATGCCATTTCTGTTACTTGTTATAACCTCTGGACTTCTGAGTCTAATTGTATCTCTTTTAAGGTTCTGCCATGGTAGCCTCCATTTATTTGCATACATGGCTCTTCCCAGCCCGTTGATTTCTTTGTTTAGTATTTTCTTTTTTATTTATTAATGATATCATAAATGATAACTTTTGTAAAATAAAACATTATTTGAATGAGTTCCTACTAATAATATATAAATTCTAATTGAATAAAAACAAAGACCTTCATACCAAATGATGTCATGTGAAGGGAGTAATAACAATATTAGTAGTTATTATTTAATGAACATGTATCATATTTCTGCATGGTGCTTATATTTTGCATTTATTTGTTTGCTTTTTAAAAATTTATTCTTCACAGCAACTCTATTAAATGAGTAGTATGTGTAATTGTTAACCGTTTGTAGATAAAAGAAGTGACAGCCATTAATTTCTTAGTGTCAAGAAACAAGCCTTATTCATCTTTCTAAACTTATCTCTTAGCACATTGCCTTGCATATATTAGGCAATTAGTAAATATCTTTTTAATGAACTGTATCATCCAAAAGTGAAAGATACACTGGGCGTTTGGGTTTGGACCTTCCTTTTACACCAAACCTTAAATTTACCAAATAATGGCCCTTTCCTAATGGGGAAGATTTCATGAAACTTAAGAAGAGAGGAAAAGGCTTGCAATGATGAGGAAAGGACACATCCCTAGCCTGCAAGGTTGGTGAAATCATTGCTAATGATCAACAGGAAGGCAGATGTCAGTCAAGTTACCCTCACATTCCAACCTGGAGTTCTTATTCTTTTTTTTAATATATTTTTATTGATTTCAGAGAGGAAGGGAGAAGGAGAGAAAGATAGAAGCATCAATGATGAGAGAGAATCATTGATTGCCTGCCTCCTGCCTGAAGCCAATAACCTGGGCATGTGCGCCGACCAGGAATGAACCATGACCTCCTGGTTCATAGGTTGACGCTCAACCACTAAGCACACTGGCTGGACTGGAGTTCTTATTCTAAAGGGAGCGCTCATTGTGTCGACCAGTGTTGGATGTTGTAGAATATAAAGCCTGCGATATAATCAGCCTTATGCATAAGAACAAGCAGATGGAACACTATGAATAAAAATGACATTAAATTTGGCTATGGAATACCTAGTTGACATCACTATTGCTTAGAAGTAACACCAAGCAAGAAAGAGAAACTTCAAAGGCCCACAAATCTCTGATACAAACCATAGCAGGAAGGGAGTGCTACCCACAATAAAGTGTTTGTTCTTAGTTAACTCATTTCTGCGTATCACTCTCTATAGGGGGAATTGGCTGCGTGGGTCGAGATAAGGGCCAGGTTCGAAAGTGCCTTGATGTGGTGGAGATATACAACCCTGATGGGAACTTCTGGAGAGAGGGCCCACCTATGCCAAGTGCCATGCTTTCTCTTCGAACCAATTCTACCAATGCCGGAGCAGTAGATGGGAAGCTCTATGTCTGCGGGGGATTCCATGGAGCAGGTATTGATCTATTTTTTAATATTTTATAACCTCTTGTGTTGTTGACTGAGCTTCTTAACTGACCCAGTCACCAAAGAATAATCCACATATTAGTGAGATCATATGGTTATTTGTCTTTCTCTGATTGGCTTACTTTGCTTAGTATAATTATCTCCAGGTCCATCCATGATGTCGCAAAGGGTAAGAGTTCCACCTTTTTAAAAAATATATATTTTATTGATTTTTTTTACAGAGAGGAAGGGAAAGGGATAGAGAGTTAGAAACATCTATGAGAGAGAAACATCGGTCAGCTGCCACCTGCACCCTCCCTACTGGGGATATTATAAATAACACTGCTATGAACATAGAAGTGCATATATTCTTTCTGATTGGTGTTTTGGGATTCTTAGGATATAGTGCCATAAGTGGGATCATTGGGTTAAAAGGCAGTTCCATTTTTCATTTGATGAGGAAACTCCATACTGTTTTGCACAGTGGCTGCACCAGTCTGCATTCCCACCAACAGGGAATCAGGATTGCCTTTTCTCCACAACCTCACCAGTACTTGTTTGGCTAATGTTAGGCACTGCCTGTAACCGGCGCTGGGCTAGCTGTTTGGAGCTACAAAGTGATCACAGTTTGCGGCTATCTCTGCTGTGCCTGGGTGTGTGGGGGAGAGGCCAACCTGTGTAATAAGTCTGGCTTCCACCAGCTCCAAGCCTGGAGGCCCGTCAGCAAAAGGCCCAGGGCACCCCCAGATCCCCAGATCTGCTTTTGCCTGCCAGCTGCCAGTTAGAGCTTTTGGCAGAGCTTCGGGTAGCACCGTGGTCGGCAAACCACAGCTCGCGAGGCACATGCGGCTCTTTGGCCCCTTGAGTGTGGTCACGAAGTTTCAGTCGCACTGTACGTGTGCGCCCACCTGTGGTATTTTGTGGAAGAGCCACACTCAAGGGGCTGCAGCTTGCCAACCACTGGGGTAGCACATGCATTGTTTGAGATTGATTCTCAGTGAGTCAGCAGGTAGTGGCAAGTGGTGTTCACCAGATTGATAGACTCAAACTCAATGCCGGTGCTGGGTCTGAGGCCACTCAGCAAAAATCATAAGGACACCAATGCCAGCTGCCACCTGCCAGGTGCCTGGTGACCTTTATGGTGGGACAGGGTCTCAAGGAGTCATCAGGATGAGGTCAGCAAAGTTCACCATGTTCTAACAGACCAAAATTTGGCTGTGTGAAGGGAGAGCATGTGAGGGGGAAATGGCTCTCTCCCTAAAGCTACATAACTCAGTCCCTCCCCAATTCTGCCTGGACCTTTCCAAGAACTTTCCTAGATAGTCTGCATCATGGACTCAGGCTGGCCATGGCCAGTTGACTCCTCTGCAGAGTGTGAGCTCAGCAGAGCAGGATGACAGGGAGTCAGGAGGGTGGGGCTAGTGCACTTCCTTCATCTGATGCCTGTGGAGGGAGTGCTGGACTCAGGAAAAATGGAGCCTGTGGCCAGTGTGAGAGAGGGGCTCAGTACAGGGAGCCTGGTGGCTGTCCCTTCCGCTCTCTCCCCAGAGCTACACAATCCAACCTCTCCTTGCATGACTGCGGTCCACTCTGAGCCACCCTTCCCCTCTCTTGGAGCCCAGGGTGAGTGACTGCAAATGACATTTTGTGTGCTGGACCTTCAAGAGGGTGGCTGGGTTCCTAGCAGACTTGGGTCTCTCTCTGGCGGACAGAATCCCCACTGATGTTCACAGCCAGGTGTTATGTGGGCTCTTCTTCCCAGCTCTGGTGCTCCTGGCACGGGAACCAGTGTGGGCTCAGGGGGGACCTTTGCAGCTGAGCTATCCCTCTGGATTCTCAGCTACCATACTTGTGAGTGGGGCCAGCCCTTCCCACATCTCTGCCCTTCCTATCAGCCAGATTTGGCTTCTTCTGTAAATCCTTGAGACTTAGTTCAGCTAGTCTTCAAGTTGATTGTTCTATAATTTAGTATAATTCCAGTTAGGTTTTGGGAGGAGGTGGTTGTAACTTACACTTACTCTGCTGCCATCTTGTATTCCTGATAAATTTATAAATTATAACAATTTATATTTACCTAATAACAGACTCAAAATGTATACACTAAAAATTGATAGAAGAGCCTTAGCCAGTTTGGCTCAATGGATAGAGCATCAGTCTGTGGACTGAAGGGTCCCAGGTTCGATTCCGGTCAAGGGCACATGCCTGAATTGCAAGCTCCATCCCCATTATGAGGCGTGCAAGAGGCAGCCAATCAATGATTCTCACCATTGATGTTTCTATCTCTCTCGCCCTCTCCCTTCCTCTCTGAAATCAATAAAAAAATATTTTTAAAGATTTGATAGGAGAAGAAGACAAATCCATAATCTTACTGGGATGTTTGTAACACAGCTCTCTCAGTAACTGACAGAACCAGCCCACAAAAATCAGTGAATGTGTAGAAGAGTAGAATAACATGACCTAATTAACACATATGGAATACTACACCCAACAATTGCAAAATACACATCCTTTACAAGCACACATCAGCCATTGATTTTTATAAGCCAGGACTGGAAACATTTTTATATAGTATCTCCTCTAATCATAACACAATTGTGAAAAAGACAGCTGGGCTGGAACTCTTTCATTTGCCCCTGCAGACTCACCCCGTCCCTTCTCTATCCTGCCGTCTGTCTTTCACAGCTAACCTGTATGGGTTCCATTCAAGGCTCCTTTCCCCTCTGGCTTCTGGTTAGGCTCAGCCAATTGGAGCCCAGAGCAGATGTTGTTGAGTGAAAGGAGAGTCAGTTTATTTATCCTCCCTGCCCCCTCCCTGCAGGGCTGCAGAGGATGGCTGCACCTGTCTTCCCCTATCTAAATCTGCTTCTGCCAGGCAGCACTCTCCAGACAGCTGCCCTCTGCAAGTTCCAGTGCCCATTCTCCCCTAGTGCCTTCCAGGTGGCCGTGGTCCTTGCTGTTCTTAGTCCTGGGGTGCTGTGCCATGCTATGGGTCTTCCTGAACTCTGCCCGCACCTTTCCAACAGTCCCTTTGCTAAACTTTTCAAATTAGCCAGCTAGAATATGCCATTTTTCCAGCGAGGACCCTGGCTGTGTATTAGCATCTCTGTCTGCATTTAAGAAAACTTAAGCTCGCCCTAGCTGGTTTGGCTCAGTGGATAGAGCATTGGCCTGTGGACTGAAGGGTCCCAGGTTCGATTCCAGTCAAGGGCACATGCCTAGATTGTGGGCTCGATCCCCAGAGGGGGTGTGCAGGAGGCAGCTGATCAATGATTCTCATCATTGATGTTTCTCTCTCTCTCTCTCTCTCGCTCTCTCTCTCTCTCTCTCTCTCTTTCTCTCTCTCTTTCTCCCTCTCTCTCTCTCTCCCCTCTTTCCTCTCTGAAATCAATAAAAATATTTTATTTAAAAAAGAAAGAAAACATAAGCTCAAGGAGGTCAATGACTCACACAGGTCATATGACTCCAGCTATACCTTCTTTCACAGGTGTAGAAATAGAACAGTTTCATCTCTTGCCCACAGCATCAATAAATCATTAACATAACAGTGGAACATTCTTTTGACTTTAGACAATCAGTGCATCTTGAATAAATTTTTAATGTCAGTTGTAACTTGGACTTTCATAGTTTCTTAAATGTCAGGAAAACTGTGTCTTTCATATGTACCTTGATTGTTTTTTTGTTAATTTTTGGTCTTTTAGAGAAAGTTATTTAATACAGTGATGATGAACTCTGAATTTAATACCCATATAATATTTTATCTTCCCACTTTGCTGTTTTTCAGATCGCCATGAGATTATCTCCAAAGAAATATTGGAGTTGGACCCATGGGAAAATCAGTGGAATGTGGTAGCCGTCAATGTCCTCATGCATGACAACTATGATGTCTGCCTGGTGGCCAGAATGAATCCTCGAGACCTCATCCCCCCGCCTTCAGATTTGGTGGAAGAAGGCAAGGAGCACTGAGGTCAGCATTGCTATAGAACCTTCTGTTGTGTCTGCAAAGGAGACGTTAGGAATGGAGAGAGCTCATGGGCATCCATACGTGTGCTTTGCATGCATAGTGGCCCATGTGCAAAGCAGCTTGTGCTGGACACTGTGAGGGGGAGTGTGCAGAGTCCACCCTCAGGGACCCCACTTGGTTAGGGTGGACAAGACATTACAAAGACTGAATGTGGTGATGTCACAAGAGGAGTACAGGGTGAGTGCCACAGAAGTGCAGGGGGTGGAGGAATCCCACTCTGCTGGGGACTCAAGGACAGCATTGCCAAGATGTAGGCCTTCATCAGAGCCTTGGAGGATGAGGAGGAAGCAGTCCCATGTGTGCAATTGATAGTGAGATCACAGATAGCTGAGTAAAGGCCAGAGGTGGGCCAGGTTGCCTGGACCACTGCCTTTGCTAGAAAGGCTAGAAAGGTAGGTTATAGCTTAAATGACCAATATTTGGAAGACCAAGGACTTTGGAGCTAGTCTCTAAGCAGGGAAATGATCTCAAAATAGCGGTGTGAAGGAAGACATATCTTTGTACTCTGTTCTGGCTTCAGTCTTATAAAGACTGTCTATTCTCGTGCAGAATACTCTTCTGCTACAGAAACATTGTCCAAAAAAGGGCTAGCAGTGGACTGACTACAAGTTCCTAAGAGCCCAGGCACTCAAGCCAACCACAGTGCGCAGAGGAATTCCACCCTGGGCTGGGTCTGTGCCAGTGAAGGAGATACGGGGTTCTGTAGCCATGGTCCAATCTTGGGCTGGCACAGAGGTTCCTAGATTGGACCTACCCAAGCTGCCCTTGACTAGTTCTCAGACATACAAGGCCTTCCACAGGCTGGCAAGTTCCTAAGAGCCCAGGCACTCAAGCCAACCACAGTGCGCAGAGGAATTCCACCCTGGGCTGGGTCTGTGCCAGTGAAGGAGATACGGGGTTCTGTAGCCATGGTCCAATCTTGGGCTGGCACAGAGGTTCCTAGATTGGACCTACCCAAGCTGCCCTTGACTAGTTCTCAGACATACAAGGCCTTCCACAGGCTGGTCCTGGCTGAACACAACTGGCCTACACCACCCAGCCCAGGCACTGACCAGTCTCTGGAGTAAAAAGAGGAAGCATGCCCCTTTGGCAGCCGGCAGCCCTCTTGGGCCCGGTCGTTGCACTATCGTCCCCAAGGTTGAAGGGGGAGGATGGAGCCTCCTGCTTCAGCACAGAGTTGAGCATAGTTAGAAAATAGCCACTCCCGAAACACATCTTACGGATGACATTTAAACAACACCAAGGAAATCCATCTATTTTATTTACCTTCTATACTTCTGGAAGCACAATAGATTCAAAGAATGCATTTTGATCCCTGATCTTTGACACCTTCTCCAGAGTTTCACCTTACACAGGCTCTCTTAAGTAGGGGTGGTTAGTAAATTCCCTAGAACTTTGCTGCAGGCAGACATTCTTAGATGAATATAGCTCTTCTCTGGTATAGAGTTGTGTGACGTCCTGGCTGAACACAACTGGCCTACACCACCCAACCCAGGCACTGACCAGTCTCTGGAGTAAAAAGAAGAAGCATACACCTTTGGCTGCCCTCTTGGGCCCAGTCGTTGCACTATCGTCCCCAAGGTTGAAGGGGGAGGATGGAGCCTCCTGCTTCAGCACAGAGTTGAGCATAGTTAGAAAATAGCCACTCCCGAAACACATCTTACGGATGACATTTAAACAACACCAAGGAAATCCATCTATTTTATTTACCTTCTATACTTCTGGAAGCACAATAGATTCAAAGAATGCATTTTGATCCCTGATCTTTGACACCTTCTCCAGAGATTCACCTTACACAGGCTCTCTTAAGTAGGAGTGGTTAGTAAATTCCCTAGAACTTTGCCACAGGCAGACATTCTTAGATGAGTATAGCTCTTCTCTGGTATAGAGTTGTGTGATTTTTGTGACCTCTATCCCATGTCCCCAGGTTCTAGCTGTTAAACCAGGCAGGAGAGATGGGTCCATGGATATGAGCCAGTTGGAAGCCTACTTCTGCCACCATAAAGGGGGGCCCAGTTAGACCCAAGGTAGGTTGTCCCCTAGTAGGCTAGGCAGGGCAGGAGCCATGCCTGTCTCTCTGCAGTTGTACCCAAGTGCCCACTGCAGTGCCTGGCACATAGAGGTCTTTGGGTAACCCACACAGAGTAGCAATTATTAGTCTGAGGGCTTGGTCTCTGAGCATTTCCAGGAATCTGAGTTAAATGAGTTCATTCTTCTCCCTGCTCGAGGGTCTTCTAATCCATGGATTCTTTTTCTTGCCGAAAAGGCAGAGCAGTTCTTCCCAGTAAGGGCTGTACTGGCTGGTGGTGTTCATGGTTGAGGAGCGCCCCCACAGGTCGCTGTTTGCTTAAGCTCCTCTTAATGGGACCCCTGCACCTGAACCTATTTAAACATAGAAGCTGTCACATCTCCCTGGATCAAGGAGGCCTTGCTAGCGTGTCATGACACATTTCTAGATGCACTGGGTTTCAGATCTAAGATTTAGTCCCAACTCTGCTACTTAGCTAGCTGTGTGATCTGGGGCAATATAACCTTTCTAATAATGCCTTCTTTTCCTCATATACAGAATGGGAAGAAAAATGCCTTAGAGGGTTGGTGTGAGGATTGAGTGAGAAAACGCTGACCAAAGTGTGTGTAAGATACTAAAACATTTATTAGCTGCCATTATTATTATCATTACTGTTGCACTCAGCATTTCCCAAAGCATGGTGCCCAGAACAACCCAGTGCTTGAGTGCAATCCCCTTGGGGTTGTAGGGAGAGATGTGGATGTGGCTTGAGATAGCTCTTAATTTCCCAGACCCAGCCTTTTGGCTCCTCCATATGGCATGCTGAAACAAACAGTGGTCTGCTTTCGCGTTTTCTTAAACCCCGGTGTTTCTTGACTGACTTTCACATTTGTAATTCAAAACTGGACATTTCTGCCCTCCTGTTGTTACATATTAGTAGAGGTTCATCTTTGAAACAACATTTTCCTACCGATCCTTTTTCACTTTAACTGAATGCTATCCCAATAGCACATGGAGGGCTCTTAGAAAACGTTGACTGTTTGCTAGTTCTTCTCTTTATGAAGCAGAATTGTTTGACACTGAGCAATGGGACCTAAAAGGGAAGTGATCTGGATGCTGAGGCTGAGAGAAGACTGCAGCTGTCAAGCACACCCCCGTTCAGTGTGTGTTCTTAAAGAAAGCATCATTGTTCTCTCTGATTGACTTTATAATGAGCAAATGCTTTGAATTTGAACTTGCAAAATTTTACCAATAAACGATCACCTTCATCTTATTTTTCATATCGCAAATCCATGTCAGTTTCATTTGAAGAAGGGGTTCCTGTGCCCAGGACGTGCTGAGCATCCCCAGAGTGGGGTATGACCAGCCAGCAGAGCATCAGGAACAAGGCCAGAGGCCAGGATGTCTGAGGCAGATGAGGACCAGGAGGTGGTCCCATTTGCGGGACGGTTGAAGCACAGGAGGATGGCAAGCGAAGGAGATGAGGCCAATCACAGAAGCCCTCAGATGCCATACCAATGATCTGGCCTGTACGCCTCAGTAGCACGGCTTCAGGCAAGGAACCCCTTTAAGAACATCCTTCCACAACCCCATGTAGATGAGTAAGGTGAGAGCAAACAGGGGCAGATGGGCAGGAGGCCCTGTAGGAGCTCAGGTCACAGAAGCTGACTTAGCCCAGTAGCAGCAGGAACCAGGAGAGTCCAGTGCAGTCAGAAATGGAGGGTGTCAACAGTTTGCCGGCCAGTTCAGAGCCAGGGAGATGCCATGAGTTTAACCATAAGAGAATGGCCGCTCAGCCAAAACCAAAATCTTTCAAGGGGTCCACCCCCTTCACCTGAAAGTGTTTCTTAAAGAGAGCTACTACCCGAATGGCTCCAGTTGTTCATCCTGGGCCTGTCTAGGGGTTGCCAAGAGAGAAGAGGTACTGGGGTGTAGAGTCAAGTCACCCCACTTATTTGCCACCTCTAGCAAACCCAGCTGAGTGTGCCCCTATAGTCATTGCCCTATTCTTCTTGTATACAGTGACTTGGACCCTGCCCCAGCTCATTGGTAGATCGTGCCTTGAATGAACCAGTCGTAGCAATCCCATATCCTTGCCCAGGGTTAGTTTATCACAGCCATGTGGCACAATCCCAGCCGAAGAGACACAGAGCAGTACCCACAGAGGGGCTTTGGGAAAGGTTTTCTCTTTTAAAAAGCTGTAGAGGGAGAGAGGGCCTCTTCTTCTGCTGTCTTTTCAAGTCTGTGAGCCCCTGGGACTGCAGTCACTGTCTTGCAGTGAGGACAGACTGGAGAGAAAATGCTGCAGTTGCCCCACGGAAGGAAAAGACCCAAGATTTGTGGCACAGCCACCAAATGAACCAGCCATGGGACTTCTTGTCAGATGCTAATTGTGGCAATAAATTTTACATGCAGCCCAAGACTTCCTAATTGATACACCAACCTTCCCCCACCACAGACACTTTCTCTTGGGATGACCTTGATACTCCTGCCGAAGGGGAGGACTCAAGCAGTCTGGGCCTTGGATGTCTCCTGACAAGGTGATTTAGTTCATTTCAGTGAGGGAAGCCCTGCATGCCTGGCAAGTGCCAAGGGTTTATAGTGCTGAGTCCCTTCTTAACTATCTCTTAGATATTTTTCTCTCCAAACTTCAACATTTTTGTTTACTACAAATCCCACCCACCAGCTGTTTTTGTAAATAATGTTTTATCGGCACACAGTCGTGCTCTTCACTTCTGGATTGTCTGTGGGGCTTTCATGCAGCAACAGCAGAGCTGAGGGGCTGCAGTAGAGATCTCTGGCCCACAAAGCCTAGAATATTTACTCCCCTGCCCTTCACAGGAAACCTTTGCCAACTCCTGGTGTATTCTACCAGATTTTCTTGAT